ATTAGAAGGGGGGGGGGGGTCTCATCATCATCTTTGGTACGATACATTCAGTTTTACAATCAAAGATTCCTTCAACTAACGCTGCGGCTCAAGAAAACCGTCAACATGCCTCGGGTCATCGGCAAGGACGTTGGACCCATTGGATACGGCCTCATGGGTATGTATGTCACCAGTTGAGCACGTTTCCCATTGCCCGATTGTTTGCTTACAAGGATAGGCTTCACCTGGCGCCCTGAACCTACGCCCATCGATCAGGCCATCGAGGCACTCAAAGCAGCTTTGGAGAGCGGCCTCACTCTGTGGAACGGTGCTGAGTTCTACGGTACTCCCGATTGCAACTCCATGACCTTGATGAAGGCCTACTTCACCAAATATCCCGAGGATGCCGATAAGGTTACGCTGGTCATCAAAGGCAGCATGGATATCACTACGCACAAACTGGATGGCAGCCCCGAGGGCACTCGCCGCAGTCTGGATAACATCATCAAGCAGCTCGGCGGAACTAAGAAGCTCGATGGGTTTGCTCCCTCAAGACGCGATCCCAACACGCCGCTAGAAGTTACTTTTGGCGTCATACAGAAGGAGTACATCAATACTGGAAAACTCGGTGCCGTCTACTTATCAGAGTGCAGCGCTGAGACTGTTCACAAGGCAGCCAAGCTCGCCAAGATTGGCGCTGCTGAAGTTGAACTGAGCATGTTCTCCCCCGACATTCTTACCAACGGTGTTGCTGAAGCCTGTGCTCAGCACGGCATTCCCATCTTGGCCTACTCGCCCATGGGCAGGGGCGTACGTCTTTTGCCAACATAAACATGCACCATTATCGAATTCAAATAGCTAGCAGGCCGTCAAGATCCTCACCGGTAGATTCAGGACTGTTGCGGATATGCAGGATCGCGGAATCACATCCAGTTTTCCACGATTCCAGCCTGGCGCCTTCGAGCATAATCTCAAGCTTGTTCATCAGGTCGAGGAGATTGCAAAGGCAAAAAGATGCACACCCGGCCAGTTGGCTATCGCGTGGGTGCGCAAACACAGCAACCGCCCTGGACTGCCTACCATCATTCCTATCCCTGGAGCTACCGCAGCCTCAAGAGTCAGGGAGAATGCGAAGCTGGTGGACATTACCGAGGACGAATTCACCAGGATCAGTGACATGGTCAAGAACTTTGAGACTGCAGGAAAGAGATATCCAGATTCTGTCCCTACCAACACCTGAAAAGGGGGGATCCTATCTTTGTTGTCAGCATTTGTTTATATGTCCATAATAGATGATGGCGTGTATTTTAGTGGGAAGTGACTATGAATCAGGGAATTTTGTCCACAGACAGGCCACAAATGGCCTTCAGAATTGCAGAATTCAATAACATTGAATGCATCATTTTCGAGCAAGAAAAGCGTTTGCTTCAAGTTGGAACTTACCCAGGTGGCCCCAGCAACAGCGCGATAACGTGTACGGCGACAATGGTAATTTCGCGACGGTTCCGAAGCCCAGAATCATATGAGCCATAAAATCAGTCAATTTCCCGTACTACTCGGCGAGTCCATTGCGTGTAATGGCACTGGAGATGGTTGAAATCGAAGTGGAGGTCGCCGAAATATTTTCATTTCCACCACGCCCCCACGTGACCAGGTCTGGCATCATGGCAGAAAAACAATTTGAGCATGAACTAAGGCTGTGACACAATGAGGAGTTGGTGAGAACATTATAGAAACCTCCGCTATGCTTTACAGCTCTATCGTGTATCGAATGGGGTTCTGCATGTCAACCTTCATTGTCAATGCTGACTCGAGGGCTGCATATACAACAAGATCAAGAAACATTGAACCTCTGATCTTACAAGGCGTCTATTACGACTCTAGCGTTGTTGGGGTATACAGAATAAGCCTTTGTTGCCAATACTTCCAACAGGCGAGATACTTCCAGCCGAGTCATGCCCACCGTACATGCCTGCTTACACCATCATCGCCCCATTCAAGCCAACTGCTTCAACTCGATTGACCAACTTTTTGACATTGGTCCATTCCTCATTCTTCAATCCCTCCTTGCCACCCAAGCCACTACCTACTTCAAACACTGTCAACGAACCATCTATGCCGCCAGTAGCCAACCGCTTGCCATCGTTTGGCTCCCATGCCAGCTTGTTCAAGCTCTTGGAGAGCATCGTTCTTCCGTCTTGGCGCTGACTGGGGGAGATTCGCGAGATGGGCTCTTCAGTTTCCACCGCAATATCCCAGAGTTCTAACCATCCGGCGCCATCGACAAGAGCAAAGACGCTTGGCTTCACTGGCGACCACCTGGCATCATATACAACATCTTCCCGGACGAAGTCGATAAGTGGTGTAACACTGCCGTCCCCGGCCCCAATTGTAGAAGTGGCGGCTGGCGCACGAACCTTCCAAAGCTTCACACTCCAGTCAAGCGAGGATGAAATAATTAGGTCGCCCAAGTCAATGGGGCCACGGGACGGGTGGAAATCAACAGACATGACGGGAGCTGTGTGACCCTTGTAGCTGATCTTCTTATCCACTCCAGCCTTGGCGCCAGCCCGGTCGTATCTATGGCATGGAAAGATTGTACCTTCTTCACTTCCAACAAGAAAGAACGTAGGGTCTGTTTGAGGAAAAGAAACACATGTTGGGCTGACATCCTCCACAGCCACTTTGGCCTGGCTGGGATTCTTCAGTTCCAGAAGCTCTTGCGGCTGCGCAAAGACATCCATACTCCACCCACAGACGACGCCGTCCGTTGAGCAGGAAATGATGTTGTTCGCATTCTGCGTTCCGACAATGTTGACAGAGTAAATGGGATGCGCGTGGCCGTATCCTGTTAGTGGAGTCTTTTGCACAGGAGCAGCTTTCGCTCTCGTATCCCACAGAAGAACTTGTCCGCTGTAGGATCCGCCAATGATTAAGTTTGGATGATAGGGAGAGAATTTCGCAGTGAGAATATCAGACTGGGCGGTGAAAACATATTCGGGGCGGTCGTGCATATGCGTGTTCCAAACTTGAACAAGGCCGTCGGGTTCGTGAGGCGCCGTGGGATTCTTGGTATACGATGCGAGCAATAACTCGCTAAACTTCGGTGAGAAATCAATGCCGCTAATCATTCGCTTTTTTGACCATCGATCGTCGAAGAACTGAGCGACTTCTTTTATCCTATGCGAGCCACGGCCGCCAGTGTTGCCGCTTTTTTCGTCGTCTTCATCCTGATCCTTGCCCTGCAAGGCATAATCTGTCAAAATATCGTAGGTTTCCTGGTCAATGGCTCGTTCGATGACCTTGGTAGATTGGTCGAGGAAGTCAACAAATGCCTCAGACCGTGTAACAGCCTCCAACTCCTCTGCAGTCAACTCTCTGGATGGGTAGTTGGTGGATGACGCTGGTAATGCCGTGGCGGTGCCGTCGGCAAGCGACTCTTTGGCTGCTCGCAGCTCGTCCTCTACTTCCTCGCGAATCTTCTGGCGTAACTCCTCCTCCCTATCCCTTTCCCTCCTACTTTGCCTCTTATTTGGCGAGTCCGTGGTCCCCGTCAAGTCATCGCTAACTGACACGGTTGACTGCGCTCGGTGTCTCGCTGGTGGGGGCCATTCGTCTGAAGTCTGAACGCCCTTGCTGTAGGAAAAGACCTCCTTGACCGGAGATGGTGGACACTCATACACCGTCGTCAAAGGTGCTGTGCTGAGTTGTGGTGGCGGAGGAGCAGCAACTGAGGCTGCTGCGGACTCGGATGTCTCGTTGCTGAGTTCTCCTGCACTGAGGACGCTGTTCGGTCTGCTGGCACGATGGCCACCAGGGGATGCGGCGCCTCCCGTTGTTGTTGAGCCAGGCCGACTCTCGCCAACTAGACTGTTGATGAGAGATTCGATTTCACGGCGGTTGTCTGCTCTACTAGGAGTCGGCGATATTAACTGGAGATGGCTTGTTAGTAGCGAGGCGCAAAAGAGTACGCAGAAGCCAGGAATAGACCAACGTCACCGCCGCCTAGGCTTGGGCGGCCAGCACTGGCCTGGCTGGCTCGAAGTTCTCTCTGTCGCTTGAGTTCCGCAAGCTTGGCTTTTTTCGCAAGGATTTCATCTCGACGTTGTTGCATCTTGATGGCTTCTTGACTGTCCCATAGCGGGACAGGCAAATCAGGGGAGCCCCCAGGGAGTCGGGCAGCGAAGCAAGTCAAAGGGGGACAAAGAGAAGTCACTTGAGTGGTAGTGATGCGTCAAACCCGCCCAGAGGAGAAGTAAATAATAAAGAAGGACAGCTAAGCTCTGAAGTGTCAGCGTCAGGCAAACTGCTGTGCAAGTCTCTGGCGATTCGCGCGCTCCAAGACGATGTCGCATGAAACCAGACTCGACAACATTCGAATATCCTGGAGCCTTCAATGAACGACTGGCTGCAAGGCCCCTGTCGGCCAGTGCAGTCTCAGTGAGGTCAACCTTGTGCTAGGTGCCGACACTAGCGCCAAGACGCGTCTCGTAGGCAGAATACAGCCCCTGTACGGAGTATCTGGGGGCTGCGAGACACGCCAAATGCAGTGCACACATGCACAAAAGGCACAAAAGCACCAGTGCTTCACGTGATTGACCCAGCCTCTTCGGCCTTGTGGCGCCCAAAGAAGCGGAGAGCCACACTCTCCGACGACCTACCGCCTTGCCGCCCAACCACGAGCAACGAGCAAGAGCCATGCGCCATGGGCGATGAGCTCCCCTGTTATGGGCCAGTGGCGGGCCGTTGCCGCCTGTTCTGGCAAAACTGCGACTTTTCCCGAGCAACTTTCAAATCTTCTTCACCTTGCAGCCGACGCATCAATTCCCTCGAACCTCCACGACAGGGCCCCATTGACACCCATTGTCAGCCCTCGAGTTACGTCCTCACCTCCGGATCGCTTCTCGCATCTGCCGCGCACCTTGCGATCGTAATTTCCAATGGCCTCGACTGGCGTCAACGTTGGTTTCCCGCCCTCAGTCGTCTCCTATTGTGCAGCCGCTTCAGGTCGCTCATAGCCGCCCGATCATCGCCTGCAACACCGCGACATGCAATTGGGACGGCAAATTTTAACAGATTCACATGGTCGAATACTGACTGGGCTGTAAATAGGTTCTCCGGTGGTCCGCGCTCGCCGTGGGCGTCTTCTACGGATTTTCTCATCAGAGAACGATTACTGCTACACAACGGGCCGAGCATGCTAAGCACGAATGGGAGAGCAAGCAGAAGTTGATAGATCGGGCCAAGGCCGAGTACGCGAAAAAGAACAATCCTGCTCCCGCAGCTGCTTCCAAGGATGATGGTACGTTGGCTTTTCAAGATATGCGGCCACTCCCTGGGGCTCATCTTCCGGGTCCAAAACCCCGGCGTCTATACCGAGCTGAAGACTAACCTCCGTGCGCAGTTGTCACCGATGTCAACGACCCCAAGTTCGATCTTGAGAAGCTGCTGCTGAAGGTGTCCCAGGAGAGCCCTTAAAGCGATTAATTCGGAGACAGGACCGACAGAGGAGATGGATAGCTGATAACAAAACGGATTGGGAGGAATGATGGATCTGCTACTTGTTAAGGACTGAGAGTCTGCCAACGCCTCTATAGGGTCCAAATTATAGCAGAATCTCTGTATGATGGAGACAACGCGAGGCGCTACTGCATAGAGGTTTCCTTGCGTTCCTGTTTACTCAAGTGTACAGGTGTAAAAATACACAAAATTTAGACGGCAACATTGAAATGTTTCCACACAACAACCGCCTCCAAATACTTAAAGGTCAGCAACAACTTCACAAGGTTCACGTGTCTCATGATGGTGTAGTTCGAAGTGCAACTATTTACAACTTCAAGTGAAAATGCCATCTTGTCGAGCTCTCATGCTTTGCACATCTCGTGCGCAAATCCCTTGAGCCAGCCACCGTTATCGTAGCCATAAGGCCTTGGCAATCAATTGCAGATTCAAATATTGATTAAGCCTGTAATTGAGTACGTGAAATGCTGGTAGTCCATTGATCACTCGTCACAGCCTCGCAGACTACCGAACAAGTCGTGTCAGGAAAAGAAACGGGACCAATGAGAGGCGGCTTCGATGGTGACGACGGCCCCACATTTCACTCGACCACGCTCAATGCTGCCAGAAGCTCCAAGCTGTCCTCAGTCCAAAGTGTGTGGTGTCAAGTGGTCGTCGTCGCATCAAGACCAGAGAACCTACCTCTCCATCAACCCTCAGGGCAACCATTGCCAGTAGTCGTCGCCAACATGACGACCGAAGCCCAACCACGCCTTGATGGCGTCAACACAAAAAGCACAAGGACTCTCTTGAGAGTTGTCATTCTTCTTTTCATTGCCGGCGCTGCCATCTCAAGTCGATTGTTCTCTGTGATTCGTAAGTCCCGTCCATCTCGAGCAGCAACTTCTCTGGAGCTGCTCCCAGAGACAGCTACCCCAATGCGTGTCACACAGATGCTAACCTGTTTCAACAAGGATTTGAAAGTATTATTCACGAATGTCGGTTCCCTCGTTCATCCCCAATCAAAACATTGCCGTCGTATAGGACTGACTGAAACTAGTCGACCCCTGGTTCAACTTCCGAGCGACCAAGTATCTTGTTGCGAACGGATTCTACAAGTTCTGGGACTGGTTCGATGACCGAACATGGCATCCTCTTGGCCGTGTCACAGGAGGTACTCTGTACCCAGGTCTCATGGTTACCAGCGGCGCCATCTACCACGCCCTCAAGGCGCTGACTATTCCCGTCGATATTCGTAACATTTGTGTTCTGCTTGCTCCCGCTTTCTCCGGGCTTACGGCCTACGCGGCATACCTCCTGACCAATGAGATGACCACGTCTCCATCTGCTGGACTTCTTGCTGCTGTATTTATGGGCATAGCGCCCGGCTACATCTCACGATCAGTCGCCGGGAGTTACGACAACGAGGCCATCGCCATTTTCCTTCTCGTCTTTACCTTCTACTTGTGGATCAAGGCCTTGAAGCTTGGCTCTATGCTCTGGGGCGCGCTGTGCGCTCTGTTCTACGGCTACATGGTGGCATCCTGGGGTGGTTACGCCTTCATCACCTGTCTTTTGCCCCTCCATGCCTTTGTTCTTATCTGCATGGGACGCTACAGCACTCGGCTTTACGTCAGCTATACCACATGGTATACTCTGGGAACTATTGCCAGTATGCAGATTCCCTTTGTTGGTTTCCTCCCGGTGAAAACCAGCGAGCACATGCCCGCGCTAGGTATGAACGTCAACGTGTTGGAGTTAGCCCCAAATTACAGCTTGCTAATTTTTGGCCAGGCATCTTCGGCTTCCTCCAGTTGATTGCCTTCATTGAATATGTACGATCTGCCATTCCCAGCCGCCAGTTCCAGACCTTCCTTGTTACCATCCTTGTCGCCACCTTTGGTGTTGGCTTGATTGCTCTGGTTGGTCTTACCTCCTTGGGCTATATTGCGCCATGGAATGGTCGCTTCTACTCCCTGTGGGATACCGGGTATGCCAAGATTCATATTCCTATCATTGCCTCTGTATCCGAGCATCAGCCTACTGCCTGGCCCGCTTTCTTTTTTGATCTCAATTTCCTCATCTGGCTCTTCCCCGCCGGTGTCTACATGTGCTTTCAGGACCTCCGCGATGAGCATGTCTTCGTTGTCGTCTACGCTTTGTTCGGCAGCTACTTCGCGGGTGTCATGGTTCGGCTGATGCTCACTCTGACCCCTATTGTCTGCGTTGCCGCGGCCATGGCCTTGTCGAGCCTGCTCGATACCTATATTTCCGCCAAGTCACCTGACCCCAAGGAGGTGGAGAGTGCTACCGAAGCAGCTTCCAAGAAGCCACCGAAGCCCATCACTGGTCTCAGAGGCAGCGAGAAGCCAACCGTCGGCATTTTCCACTCATCATCCAAACTTGTCGTCGTGGCCTCTGTCATTGTGTACCTTCTCATGTTTGTTACGCACTGCACTTGGGTCACATCCAACGCCTACTCCTCTCCTTCGGTTGTCTTGGCAAGCCGACTGCCGGATGGAAGCCAGCACATTATTGATGATTACCGAGAGGCGTACCAGTGGCTGCGACAGAACACCAAGAAGGATGCCAAGGTTATGTCTTGGTGGGATTACGGCTACCAAATTGGTGGTATGGCCGACCGTCCTACGCTTGTTGACAACAACACGTGGAACAATACCCACATCGCGACTGTTGGCAAAGCCATGAGCTCAAGGGAAGAAGTAAGCTATCCTATCATGCGACAGCACGAGGTCGACTATGTTCTTGTCGTCTTTGGTGCCCTCCTGGGCTACTCTGGTGACGATATCAACAAATTTCTCTGGATGGTCCGTATCGCTGAGGGTATCTGGCCCGATGAGGTCAAGGAGCGTGATTTCTTCACGGCCCGTGGCGAGTACCGTGTTGACGGAGAGGCTACTGAGACTATGAAGAACAGTTTGATGTAAGTTCGCACAACATTGACGACGTACGAGATCGTCTTGGCTAAAAAACGAAAACCAGGTACAAAATGTCATACTACAACTACCACTCTCTGTTCCCGCCTGGCCAAGCCGCTGACCGTGTTCGTGGTGTGCGTCTCCCTGACCAAGGCCCAGTCCTCAACACTCTGGAGGAGGCTTTTACCAGTGAGAATTGGATCATCCGCATTTACAAGGTCAAGGATCTTGACAACGTTGGACGAGACCACGCCGCTGTTGCCGCATTTGAAAAGGGACATAAGAAGAAGAAGGCCAGCAAGAAAAGAGGCCCCCGGGTTCTTCGGGTAGATTAATTGCTTATCACGGCTATATAGAGGATTTGGGAATAGGGGATACAATAAAAGAGAATGGCCATATAGGTCCTGGAGAGATGTATGGTACGTGCAATGTATATCACTGTATGAATTGAACAGAAATTAGAGAAAGACAAAGCGACCGTATTTGCCATGACGCACCAGATACATGCCCAGCAACCAATGGGCATCTATGGAGTCGACAGGTCAGTGACTCGGCTGGTTGTGTGAATGCAGGCAGCTGCAACAGCCCGTGACAGCTGCCACTTGGGCGCAATTGAAAAATTCACAGTCTGGCACAATCCCTTCACTGCCTGCTGCGTTCGCGTCTTCATTAAATTCCTAACTACACGCCAACTTCACACTTTTGTCCACGCGCTCTCTCTGCAGCCATGATAATTTGCAACACTTTCCCCTTGCTCTCCATTCATTAACGCCATATTACTGGTACTACTGCACACGGCCTCTCTTCGGTCTGTTATAATGGGTCATAGATGGAAGCGATGGTATGCATCGACCTCGGCCGAACCGGAAATTGATCTATTATCAACGGCGTTTGGGCTACCTTCTCGGAGGGATCTCGAGCGTGCCTCCCAAACGGTCGGACCGAAACCATCACCTAGCTACGGCTCGGACTCCGATACCACGAGTGATAATGCCCAGGTTGAAGAGCCCTATGATAGCTCCGACTCATCGTCCATACACGGAACCACCAGAAAATCTAAGAATAAAGGACTAGATCACTTAGTCACGCCGATACCCAAGCCGGTGTCGAGGAAGAGACAGCACACCCAGAGCCAAAGTTCGTCTTTAAAATCTCAGCGAAGCACCTTGTCCAAGAAGATCAAGGGCTCTCGGAAACTCAGAATTGCGACTCGAGCTTGCAAACAGCCTTCTCCCACGTTGACACTCGAAGACGAAGAACCTATTTCCACTTCAACATCTCCTTCGACGTATTTGTCAACAGCGAATGGGCTACAAGGAAGCCAGAAATCATCCTCTTCCCCCAGCTGGATCAATTCAAATGCTCAACAGGCTGTACCCAACAAGACACCTCAGCCACCGCTTCTATATTCGCAGCAACAGTTTCGGACTTTCGTGCCACATTATGTGCCAACATATTTTTTCCACCAGAGAAAAAAACCCCTCGCAACTCCAACCCCGAAAAGGAATCAGGACGAGTCGTCTTACTCTCTAGGTTCTAATTTCCAAGAGCTTCAAGAGCTTCAACTGAAGTTGGATCGTCTTCAACGAGAGCTTCTGAAATGGCCCACAGACTCACGGCTTCACAAAGACCATCAAAGTACGCGAAGCCAGCTCAATAATCTTTTAGACTCGGTAGTGGCAGGTAAAACAAAAGGCGTGCAGCAGACCTCATTGAATACAGCAAAAATACCCGCCGATGCAATGAAATCTACAAAACCAAGTGTGGATAAAGAGAATGCGGCCCCTGCCGCAGTCGACGAAGTCGTCTCAATAGAGGCTCACCTTCCTTCTGTGCCTCAAGGTGGCAGAGATGGAACTTTGTCGATTGCCCATATGAGAGAGAAAAGCCCATCTTGTACAATATGGCACCATCTGTGTTCCGGTTGTGGCAGTGTTCGATCGCGAAAATTCCATGAAAAGTACCCCATTGACACGTGGCCTAAACCTGTTTTAAATTTTTGCTCATCATGTCGAGAGATAACGCTTAAGAAAGGACAAA